ACTAATAGGTAACGTATACCGGACCTTAGAATGGCCGGACTTAACATACCAAAGAATAGTCAGGAATAGCCGAGGTCAGGGGACATAGAAAGGGACACAACGATAAGGAAAAGCCAGGGGTCACGGATGCCAGAAAACAGGGAAGTCAAAAACAATGCCAAAGTAAAATAACCAAAATTACCAAAATAAGGAACGCACTCTCGGACAACCACTAGGGAAACCACGAAAGGGCAATGAGGGAAGGTATTTTTAGGTTTAAATACCTGCTTTACTATTCTGATTGGCTGAAATTGCTCTTTGACCCCAAAACATGCGTGCGCGTGAGTGACGTCACGTGCACACCGACGTCGTCAATCACGTGAGCGGACGTGGAAGTATATTTTGCCGTGGATCCGCAGTGGCCGGCGTCCATTAACATGCCGCAAGTGTCAGTCATGCAGATGAACGGCCGCTGGTTGCAGAGACTGCAAGGTGAGGAAGAGTGTATTACAGATACACACACGTACACTAAATGTCAGGACATTAAAAACTATATTTAGAACATCCAAACTTTTCTGAATAATGTCTCTTACTATAATTCAATAATCCAGATATATCCACAGCTATGTAACATAGCTAGGTAGTTTCCTAAAACATTAACAGTGAGACGTTAACAGATTTTATGTACTAAGCAGTGAATTGAAAACCGAATTGCAAAATGTTGGCTAGAATGTTTTATTTTCTTAGCATTATGGAGGCAAAACCATAGAATGCCAGGAGCTAATCTGGCTATATCGATAAATGAGACAATGTTGCATTAATGTGAAAGGCCGTATATAGAAGTGGTTTTCCTTTTCCAGGTAGGGCTCCAAAACGGCATGATATTATAATTATATAATATATATAGTATTTTGTTTCTTTACACAGTGATGGAAGCTATCTTGTCTCTTCTTTAATTTAGATATGTGTTTGTTTATAACCACTTTCATAATTTAATATATGATTTTAATCCTGTTATTTATATCCTTCACCATGACTGCTCCCACTCATTCTATTGAACGTATAATATTAATCTTTCAACCTGCTTGATATGTAAGCATTCTTTTATCCATTGCCATTTAAAAAGAAAAAAATACCCAGAAGATTCAAGTCCTTGAAAAGAGCTAGTAAGAACTCTGCATCCAGCCACCTTTCTGCGATGAGTTCAAATGTAATACAGAACAACGTAGAAAGGGCAGAGATAAAGAACCTAATACCTTGACATAGCACGATATGGGGCTGTTCAGGGCTTTGTTATTCATTTTATAATAATAATTAATATTATTATAATTGATACAGCGCCAACATATTCCGCAGCATTTTACAATCATAGAATTAGGATAAATGACAAGTTGTTGACATACAAACTATTAACAGAGACAAGAGGTGAAGAACGTTCAACTCAAATGAACGTACAGTCTATCAGGAAAGGGTATAGATACGCAAGAGGACTAACAATTGTACAGTGATGCGGAATATGTTGGCACTTTATAAATACCAGTAATAAGTAAATAAATATTATCGTGGATATCCTGTCTGTCACAATCCCATTGTAAGTACCATGCAGATATAAAGCTACAAAACTACAAGTGTATAAGAAAGTAACACAGAGATTATAAATACAGACTAATATCTCAAAGTTGCACAGCATGATATTGTGTAACGGTAGATTATTCCCAAATTAATTGTAAACACCCAGGACTTTGATCCAAAACATTAACATGTATTAACAAGCTAAATCCAATTACTCATAGTGTCAAATAAATTCCCCGTTTCCATGTATTACGTTCTTTGCAGGAATGTCATAAACACAGGCTAGTCTTGCTTTTATGTGAGCAAAATGAACACAGAAACTTAGAAAATCCCCAGTTGAGATGAGTTCGGAATTTATTTTAAAAACGACTGACAAACAAGTCTAATGCCGTCGCTACTATTTGTGTTCTGGGTTGCTTGTTAATGACTTTAAGAAAGCCCAAAAGTGGGAGTACAGAAACTATTTGTCTCTAAATTCTAAAACTACAAATATCTTAATTAGGATGTTTTAAAATTAATTAAAACTCTTCACGGAATGTCAACCTTTCCAGCTGTCCCACCGTCACTGCATTTTTAATTGTCATTTATTTTATTCCTCCCTGCCACCTTTACCCCTCGGTCCTTTTATCACGGTTAACAACTCCATTATATTGTGATCAAAACCATTTCACTGCCTGAGTGTCATTTTTACTCAAAGTCATCCTAGTCTCTCATAACATGCCTTCTGCAGTGTGTGTAAAAATCCTTAACTGTTCTAAGCTCATTATATCACTACAATAGTCATCATATTCTAGGATATTCATCTAATTTGTGCCAACACTATTTTTCCATCACTTGCCTTGTAGAAATTTCACAACATGTAGTCCATAACTAGCAGTTTCTAAACTTTGCTTAGGGTTCTCGGCTACCTAATCTCAACAATAAGAAACAGAGATTAGCAAACATTTGTGAAATTTAGTAGCAAACCTGAGTTTTAAAAGAGCCAGGGATACAACACACATTACAACTTTTCAAATAGCCAAATGTGGCCTTTTAGATCTGGGCAGTGGTCACAGGGTGGGCTAGCATAGATTATTTTACATGACTATTACTTTCAAGCAGCATTGGAATTTGGGTGCCCAGGATTCCTCTATTTTTGTAAAATCTACTAAAAAGCAGTTTAACGATAGAGCTTTCTATCACATTAACCTTTGCAATACTCTATAGTGACTATAGCGATTGAAGTGTTACTTTACATCTTTGCATCATTACAAATGTTATGGTGTATAGAATCTCCACGTAGCAGTGGCTCATAAGTGCAGCAATTTTGTAAAAACTATAAAACTAAATAAAATAGTAATTTTTGGAGCGCTCTTTACAAATGAAAAAATGAAATTGCTACTTAGAGTTGGCTACTTAGAGTTGGTATGATTTTGTCTCACTGCTAACACACTCTGAATGTGATACCCTTAAACACACAATAATATATACAAAGGAAAATGGTAAATAAGAGTGGAGCATTCCTGCATGCTCGGGCTATCCTTTCTTTGGCATGAAAAAAGTGAATCATCACTATAACATATCTTGCCACTGATGTGGGTAGATGTTTGGGTCTCCTTAAGTGATGGGCCCTATCTATAATGAGCTGGTCTGGGTGGATTTCCGGGGTGTGGTGTCGGAACAAATGTTGGAGGTAATGTTGTAAATCTGCGTTAGTTACCGATTCCCGGTATACCCCTTAAACGTAGGTTGTTCCTCCTGGACCTGTCCTCCATGTCCAGTGCCGGCCCAAGACATTGTGCTGCCTGGATCCAAGTATGAAATGCTGCTCACCCCTTTCCCCCCCACCAAAAAAACCCCTAAAACTTATGGATGGAGTCTACATAGGTGGCATCTCACCGCAGGGTTGAGAGCGTGGCAGTTTTGACAGGTGGCTGTCTTTTTTATGGTTAGTCACTTTGAACACTTTGGGTACATTGTGCATTAACAGTTATTCACTAAAGTGAGAATTCACAGTGAATTCAAAGTGAATTTCAAATTTAAGGCCTGAGTAGCCAAACTGAAAGCATGGCTTTCCAGTTTGGATATTTTGACCTTAAATTTGAAATTCACTTTGAATTTTTAGTTTAGTGAATAAGCCTTGTAAGAAAGGGCCGTGTGCCCATATGACATTTTTTATCGCAATGCGTTTCTAAATATTATTCCTGAACAACCCATCAAAGAACTTCTCAACTAGAGATGTTAAGCTCATCGGTTGAAATGTTGATCCCTTCTTAAATATTGACACCGCATCTGCTTTTCTGCCACCTCTGGTTCCTGAAAGAATCGTGGAAAATAACAAAACAGTGACAATATGTAGGTTTGACAATGTTATCACATGGATAATACACCTTTTATCTTTTTTATCTCATTGGTAGCTCAGCGTTTCCCTTTTAAGTGCTTGCATACAGTGTTATACTTATCGTCTATTGTAAAGCATTGGGGTAGCTGTTTTTTATGCTACACCTGCTAATAATATTATATTCAAAGTTATTGTGAGCCTTTCTTAATTGCACTTTATATCATCTTTACATTTGTTTTATATTTAAAAAGAAAACATTTGTTCTGAACTGTGTTTCCCATTAAAATCATCCACTTGGCCCCAGTGTTATATATATTTTTTTCTTATAAAGCACAAGATTTCAGTCATAATTAATAACATACTGACAATAAATAGGCACAATTTCCTCAACAAAAACCCTTATCAGTCATGCAGACTCACTGAATAAGCTAATCTAGCAGCTTTCCTCAGTGGACTTTAAATCAAATTGTAAACTCCTTCAAACACCTCTTTTTGAATACAACTTGTAAGGATGCTAGGTGTTGCAGTCATACCACCTTATTATGGGAACCACAGTGCTCCTCAAGCTTGTTGTCCGTATGGTCTGTGCACTCTCCCAAGGCTTGGATGTCTCAGTAAAGGTCAGTGGTAATCACTCAGAAGTCAGTCTGGAGTGTGGAGTGCAGGTCCGGTAGCATTTCATGTATTCTCTTTAGAGGCGGTGAGGGAGCAAGGGAGGTGTAATCCTTCTGCTCTGCTCCGTCGCGGGCTGTCTACTGATGCCGGGAGCTGGAATATGACATCATATTCCGGCTCCCGGCATCAGTAGACGGTGCGTGAAGGTGCAGAGCAGAAGGATTACAGCTCCCGTGCCGCCTCTAATGCACTTACAGCTGCCTGCCTCACCGCAACCCCACTGGACCCCAGGGACGGAGAGAGCACCGGCTGCATGTATAGATATGCGCTTATTGCGCTATATATATATATATATATATATATATATGCAGATAGCCAGCTCGGGCCTCTAATGGCAAACCCAGGGGTGGCATTTTACTCCCCCTGTTAAAGTGCCGCCTGGAGCCATGGCTCCACCGGGGCCTATGGACGGGCCGGCCCTGTCCATGTCTGCCAACTTGAGTTGGCATTTTAACTTCCATGTACGGAAGTGCAGTTCCCTATTTCTTGTTCAGAGGTCAATGCTTGAATCTGCGTTTTGATAGTATTCTGGATAGAGTCTGAAAAGTCAGCTATCATGGCACGCATTGCTCTCACAGTGACTGGTTGTTCCTCGGCAGTGGGGCCTGGTGATGCAGGAGGTGACAGTGAGTTCTCTCTCGATCTCGCCTTGCCGCCATCTTGTTCCATGGTGAGGCCTTCCTGCGGTTTAACTGCTGTGGCTTTTGCAAGGAAAAATTAAGCTCAACCCGCCTTTACTGTTTTAGATTTCTGTCGCTGGAATATTGTGTCACTGGGTGCTCGTTGCTGTGTGGTATTTCGCTCCGTAGACCATTTATTTGGTGCTCTATGCTGGTTGTGGAACGGGAGCTGCAGTTACATGCGGCCGCTCGGCCTCAGCTTTAGACCACGCCCCTATAATTTTATTTTAACAGTTCCACTGATATCATGTGCAGAACTACAGTTAAGGGCTAAACTACATATCCATTAAACATCCGGAGGACATTGACCAGACTCCGAAGCTCTTGATTGGTTGAGTCTCTTCCTGTTCTCGGGGGTTTGCCTACTGATGCACTTGCCTGTGCATATACTGCAGTTTTAGTAATTTATGGTATTTGTTACCTTTAAATATTTTTTTTTGTGCAAATTATGAATGCATTTTCTATACAATTCACTAAAAATAGGGGTATTGTTAAAATATTGTGTCCCTTTAAGTGAAATAAGGCATATTAATTTAAGGTATATTTTAATGATCGCAGTAAAATCAATCTCAGCTCAATTCACAGGCTCATCTAAAGAAGATGTAGTTGTATTTTTTATTTGTAGTCATTTAAATAAGATTCTTATATTCCAATCATTAACAATGTGCAACTGTGCTGTAACACTCATGACTGCTAAGAAAAATCCATGTGAATTAGATTTGCTTCTTATTTCACGCATCTGGAAAGCACAAAGCAACAAAAAGATTATCCCATAAGAACTTAACTTGCTTTGAAACGTGCTAAACCCAACTTTGGATGATTACTGGTGTTTATCCAGAAGATAAATCTTCTACATTTAGTAGTGAGGCTAAATAACATCACGGAACATTTAACCCTACCTGTCCCAGTAGAAGTACATCTGCCAGAATATAATTATGGATATCTGGCCAAACCATTATCACATTAATGTCACAAATATTTGACTGCAACTAAGAAACATACTGACTGTGAAACACAGGGTACAAGATATTTTGTCAATTTTGTGGATATTATAATTTCTCCGAGCACGAAGAACTAAAGGAGTGAAGCTACCCAGGATTGGCGTCACCCATTGCAGTTACTCATGGCGTCATCTCATGCACCCTCTAGCATATTTACTAGTTGTCCCTATTAAGAAGGGACATTTCCAATTTGGGCAGGTTAGAAGGCTGGCAGACCCAGGAATCTGGAGGGCACAAAGGACTGGAGTACTAAAAACTTGTGGACAGTGAATCTTATGTAACAAAACAGGCTGAGAGACAGATAAAGCTGGGGATAGTGAAGGCTGTGAGAAACACAAAAAAATCTGTGGTACAGTAAGCTTGGAGACATATAAACCCTTGGGAAAACAAAAGTAAAAGAAGGCTAGAAGACACATAAAGGCACATGGGCACATAGAACTGGGGAACACAGAAATCTAAAGGAGACAAAAAGATAAGAGAAAGAAAAGGATGGGTGACACAAAAAACTGGGTGAGGGGGCATGGGCACACAACATTGTAGGGAAGACACAGACATAGAAAATTGGGTGGACATGCACAAAAAGCTGGGTGGGGGGGCATGGGCACACAACATTGTAGGGAAGACACAGACATAGAAAATTGGGTGGACATGCACAAAAAGCTGGGTGGGGGGGCATGGGCACACAACATTGTAGGGAAGACACAGACATAGAAAATTGGGTGGACATGCACAAAAAGCTGGAAGACTCAGGAAGCTAGGAACAGTCACACAAATCCAGGGGGAGCAAACACATAGAGCCAATGAACATGGACACACTAAATTGGGGAACACAGAAAGCTAGGAGACACAGCTGCAGGGGTGTATGTGCAAGAATCTTGGATATGCACAAAGCTGGTTGGAAACAGAGAGAAAAACCTAGGGGGGCGGGCAGATACAAAACTGGCAAATCCATAAAACTCAAACCCAAACCAGGATATAAGAGGAGACCTAAAGCTTAGGGACACTAAAACGCTTGGACATAGACACATAAATCTGCACTCATATACACTGCCGCATTGGATAAATACACCCCACGTTCACAAACTTTTCACAAGTAAAACCTTTGCCATAAGGCCACCGAGGTCATGGCTTCAGGACAGCAGGCAAGAGAGGGGTGGCACGACCAGTGGTGAGATCAAAGATCTCTCTCAGGAGCTGGCCTATTCTCCTACTGTGGGACCAAGCAGACAGGGGAGATTTTTGCGAGGGCCAGCGCTTGGGGACAAAGGCCCTATTCACTCCCTCTCACTGGCAAGACAGCCCTGATACCTCTATTGTATCAGAGCATTGCTGTGGGTTACCACAGCTATGCTCTGATATATTACCCCTACAGAAAAGAGCTGTCTGTACCCTCCGGGGTACAGACAAGCAACAATTGCCACTGGACCACCAGGGATTCCTCCCTCTATGGCTGGCCACAGGTAAGCCTCAGAGAGGGAGGAACAAAGTATAGTTTATTTTTATTTTATTTTATAGGCAGCCTCTCAGTCAATATTCATCCACCACATCCCTAGCCCCTATTTCCTATATCCCCAGTGTACTCACTATCCTTACCACCATAATCATTCTCCTCCCCACTACAGTCCCTAGTCCCCCACTATTATTATGTTATTATTTATAAAGCACCAACAAGTTCCATAGCGCTGTACAATGGGTGGACTAACAGACACGTATTTGTAACCAGACGAGTTGGATGCACAGGAACAGGGGGATTGAGGGCCCTGCTCAATAAACTCACATGCTGAGGGAATGGGGTATAGTGACACAAAAGGTAAGGGTAGGGTAGAAAAGTAGGTTGCTAGGATAGTATTCACTGAGGGCTTAGTGTTTTATTTTGATGACAGTTGCAGGAGAGTAATCATGGTGTGGGGAGGTAAAGTTGTTCACAGTTTAATTGATATACTTTCCTGAAAAGGGATACAGCCACTATCCTCCACTACAGCCCCTATATCCTGATTATAGCGACTACACCCCCACTGTAGCCCATATCCACTGTCACACCACCTAATCCTCAACAGCTCCTATCTCCCAGCACACCACCTTTCCCCCACACCATAGTCCTTATCTCCCCACACTACAGCCCCTTTCTCTCCCTATCACCTCCAAATGCACACTACATCACCGATTCCCCGCACACACAACAGCCTCAAATCCCCAACACACACAATCTGAAGCCCAGATTTTCTTTCTAATGACACACTATCCCACGAAATAACACCAAGAGTCCCTTCCCAAAACATATACTACAGCCCCTATTCTCCACAACACACACTATGGCCCCTATCTTCCTTAAAGGACCACTATAGGCACCCAGACCACTTCACCTTAATGAAGTGGTGTGGGTGCCAGGTCCCTCTAGGATTAACCCTTTCTGCTGTAAACATAGCAGTTTCAGAGAATCCAGCCTCTAGTGGCTGTCTCACTGACAGCCGCTAGAGGCGCTTCCGCGCTTCTCACTGTGATTTTCACAGTGAGAAGACGCCAGCGTCCATAGGAAAGCATTGAGAATGCTTTCCTATGGACTGGCTGAATGTGTGCGTGGCTCTTGCCGCTCATGCGCATTCAGCCGATAACGGAAAAGGAGAAGGAGAGTCCCCAGCGCAGAGGGAGCCCGGCGCTGGAAAAAAGGTAAGGGATTAACCCCTTCCTCACCATAGAGCCCAGCGGGAGGGGGGCCCTGAGGGTGAGGGGGACACAAGGACCCTATAGAGCCAGGAAAACAAATGTTTTCCTGGCACTATAGTGGTCCTTTAACCCCTTAAGGACCAAACTTCTGGAATAAAAGGGAATCATGACATGTCACACATGTCATGTGTCCCTAAGGGGTTAAAGGATCACTATAGTGTCAGGAAAACAAACTTGTTTTCCTGACACTATACAACCCTTAGGTCCCCTCCACCCTCAGGGCCCCCCTCCCTTGACGCTGAAGGTTAAAACCCCTTCAGTTACTTACTTTAATTCAGTGCCGGGTTCCCTCTGTGCTGGTGACCTCTCCTCCCACTCCGACGTCGGCTCCCGAGTGGAGTGGAATCTGCATGTGCGGCAAGAGCCGAGAGCGCATTCAAACAGTCCATAGGAAAGCATTTGTCAATGCTTTTCTATGGACGTTCTGCACCCTGAATGCGATTAACCCTGCTATGCTGCTATGCTTACATCTGAAGGGTTAAAACCTGGGGGAACTGGCACCCAGACCACTTCATTGAGCTGAAGTGGTCTGGGTGACTACCGCCCTTATCCACATACAGCCCTATCCATACACACAGTACACAATCTCCAACTACCAGGCAGCATCTCCCCACACACTCAGTCCTACAATAGGATTTTCCACATACACAACCCTAAAAGCAGCATCCCAGAAACAAGCTTCTACACAAGTTACGTACCCTCACAAATGCAACACAACAGTCACCCACACTCAGCATCCCCACAAATATACATCACCACAAGCAGCCTGCAATCACGATTGCAACACCACAAGCAGCCTACAGACACACACTCTCTCCCAGCCAGGTCCCACTCATTATCCAACCACACAAATAGTCACAGTCGCCATTCAATCATACTCCAAACTAGTTCCATTAATGCAACCAATCCAATACCCCAATCTTTTGCATATGTGTGTGTATATAAAGAAACCGGATTTGATGTATGGAAAGACTTCAAATATATGCACACATATGTGGCACCTTCTGTTCCTGTACGTCCAACTTGTCTTGTTGCAACTGTTTGTTTGCTAGTCCACATATTGTACAGACTGCAGAGTTTGTTGGCACTTTTTAAAAAATAATAAATGGATATAAACAGGTAGATCATCGCCAGATCAGCCTTTGAGCTAGGAATACATAAAAAAGAGCTATAAGAAGAAGACCCTTTTAGTAACAATGTGTCACAAAAACAACTTCTAAATGGCAAAAGGCACAGAACATGGTGATAAGATGCAGCTAACACAATGTGTGACAATGGGGAACATGGATACCATCTAAACATAAATGGGGGAATATCAGCCATAGTGACAATGGTAACAAGACAATGGAACAGAGAAACACCCGTTTAAACATAGAAGACCTCAGAGAACACAGAGAGGTCACCTCAAATAGTAAAGTTTGCCCATTCAGACAGTAAAAGCATATTCCAGATGGTTTTAAAGTCTTCGTAGGAGCAGGACCAGTACAAAGGTATTTGCAGCCCTGGACAAACAGTTAAAGCTGCTTTTAACTACACTTTTTGTTCCATTATTGGTTTTATTTGCCGATCTTCCTCTTCGTGATCTCCCTTTTTTGTTTGATCACTGCCCCACTCTATCTACTAGTCTCATGTTTTCACATCTCTCTCACTATCAGTCTATGTTCAGACTTACCTACTCTTAGTTCTTCTGGTCAATCTCTTTCCTGTACCTCCTGTTTTCTTTTCTTCACCATTACCTTCTCAGGCCCCCTATTTCTACACCACAATGGGATACCTTCTACTTACCACCCTTTTCATGTCTACACCAATATGTGATACCTCCTGCTTACCACCCTTTTCATGTCTACACCAATATGTGATACCTCCTGCTTACCACCCTTTTCATTTCTACACCAATATGTGATACCTCCTGCTTACCACCCTTTTCATGTCTACACCAATATGTGATACCTCCTGCTTACCACCTTCTTTCTTCTCAGCCTTTGCTTTTCTTTGATTCTCCTTCTTCTGTGTGCCCCAGTTTCTCTCTTAATAATACATGATCCACTCCTTTCCTTTACTTACTTAATTAATTAATTAATTGTGTCTCCTTGTACCCCTATTTCCCATAGTTACCTCTTTCTAAGTCCTCAAATTTTACTTATACTTTCCCAATGATTTGTTTCTTGGTCGTCTGATACTTTTCCTTCGTTGTCTCATAGACCTTCCCACAATTACCTACCTCTGTCACCTGCTTTCTGTGGAACTCTAGCCACTGAGGGAAACTATATTGCTATTTAGAAACAGGGAAGCTACACATTTGAGCTGTTTGTGGAAGCCATATTTCTGACACCATGTGTAATATGTTTTCACAACAACGAAACTTAAAGCAATGCATATTTTTAAAGTAAATCTTTATATATGTTTCTCCCCATTCATTAAATGTATTTTAATCAGTGGCTCAATCATTGTGACAAACACATGTGTGCTTGGATACACTAACCCCTACGTATGTAAGTAGTCAAATAGGTCTAGAAATGGTTACTCAATTATGGTACCCACTATTTTTTATGTTAATACAAGATAAAATGAGAAAATAGATATAACTAGTAGCCAAATGTCTTGGGAGCTTGCTAACAATGATTGTTCCCTTAAGAGCTACTTAAAATATCAATAAAAGAAGCAGCCTTTATTTTCAAAGTTTAGTGGCTTCTTAAAATCCAGAGATCATTCACTGTGGGGCATTTTGTGCTTCCTCATTACAGCTTTGTAGTCAATCCACTAGAGGGTCATCTGTTGCACCATAGGACATTTCATTCATTGCTATCAATCAGGGCTGTGACATAAACCCAATTGCAAATTTCAATCAGCAAAGTTCTCAGGCACACCAGGTTTAAGGAACTTTAAAATTCAGGGCTGACACGAGTAACTTGATGGTTTTTTATGTTTTGAACAGGAAAGTCAAAATGTATAAACTCAAACCACTTACTTAATTTTGCTTTCCTGACAAAATGCAACTCTAGCAACATTATTCTGAACTGTAGCAAATTAAAATCCATGAGGCTGAATGCGAGCAAAAATAGCTGGTATAGAAGAATTCTCCAACACAGCTGGAGACACAGCATATATATATTTTTGCTTGAATTTTGCAATTAGAATTTTATATTTGCTACAATTCAAAGTTTAGCGAATAAACCCTGATTTACTCTTTTTAAAAGGGAATTCTCACTCCTAAGAAATGTACACCATTGTTTAGAACACTGAAAATCACATATAACATGTGGTAACCTTTTATTCATTCAATGCTCCATTTCCTTTTAAACTTATATTTAAAAAAAAACAGCAGATGACATCATAATCTAGTTAAGACAAGGCAAGGTCCGGGCAGGCATTGCAAATGAAGATGAAAAATAGAAGCATTGTTTTGTTTTTCCTCTTCTCTGTATGCTGACTGCCAGGTGCGAAGGACAGAGTTTATAACAATGATTGACAGAGAGCTAAGATGGAGGCACCCAGCTGCGGAATAAAGAGGTGTTGATTTCTACATTTATTTTACCTTTCACACCTTAGAAATACATATTCGTGAAATATAGGGATAAGTAAACATAATATTATAAATACAGGGAAGTGACAGTTTCCCTTTGATACAAATGTGTCTACAAAATTTATTATGACAGAAATAAAACCCACATGTTATAGTCGGGTATATTTAAAGGAATGCTCAACATAAATCTCGTGAATGTCGTTTACCTCCAGGCAGGAGTAGAATTTTAATCAATACATTGTGCTTGTGAAATCCTCAAAATAAATAGATGAACATATATATCTGTTGCTGAAGATCAATTCTCCCTCTTCCATGATACCTTCTGAAATAAATGCAAGCAAGAGAGTACACATTCACTGTTCGTGACACAGGCACAAATTGTGGTAAGTAGACAAAGGAATTGCAAATTTAAACCCAAATTTGAAAACTTTTTTTTGTCATTTCATTTGAGATGACACCATGTAGAATCGCTGCAGTTACCCCTACTAGCTATACATTCCTAGTTTGGATAGATGAAATTAAAAAGACATCAAAATTGGAATATATCGTATAGTGTGTTACAGAGCCAGTGGTACCTGTACATGCATATTCAAATTATTATTTGAAGTTGTGAAATAATTTATATAGAGATTTGACATATTATCAGAAAGAGTTGACAACCTCCCACCATATGGAATGAAGATACATTTGTTCCATAACTTCCGTTTTCAAATTCCAGAAGACTGTCCCTTACTCAGCATTCTGGGTAATTTGTGTCTTTCTTCCCATTATGACACAGAGTTTCTAATATAATACAGTCTCCAGTGTTAGCTATAATGCAGCTGACAACTGTCCCTATTTTGCAAAGTACAATGAGGCAGTTAATGCTGGCATCATTAATAAATTATAATGATAATGGAGAACTTAATTTGAAAAATAAAAATGTGTGTATTTTTTGGCCACTGTAACGGAGACTGGCTGCATTTACGAGCCCGAGGGGACTTGAAGTGCTCCTGTGGCATCATCCTTCACTCCCCCCTGTCACAAAAACATTTTGAGCTTGGAATAAATGGAGCTTTATCACAAGCTTTATGATCGAGCATTGATTACTTCTGGCCATCCTTTATACTCCATGACTGTCTGCCAACGGTTCATGCTGGAATGACAGTACTCCATCATATAATATATTGCTTAGCATTGTTCTATGGGCAGTAACTGACACCATCCATCACCCACAATCAATACCTTTGTTTTTCATCCTTACACAGGGAGCTGAGGATCTTATAGACAGAGGAAATTGTGAAGAGTAGGGTCCCATCTGGGAAAATGTTTTTTTTTTTTTTTAAGCTTATATTTTTTGTAAGTCTGGCAGCTCATTTTTCTTATGTTGCAGGATATAATTTCTCAAATAAGCACCTCCCCCCTCTTTGAAAAAAATGGGAGCTTTTTTTTGTTTTGTTTTTATCAAGAAAGAGAGTGTTTAGTTTGTAGTTTTCTGCTCACAGAGGTTGTAACTATATTGCCAAACACTAAACACTAGTTATGTTACTCTGCCAACAATGCATTGTACAGGTGTGTTGCTGTTTCTTCCAGCAGTGGAGACTACAAGCACTCATAATATTTAATATAATAAGAAAGACTATGGCTACCTGGAGAGCACCAGTCATTTACTGCTTGACAGTTAGGGATGGACAAAATAGTTTGCCAAAAAAGCAAAATATACAGAAATCAGTACTTTCTGCCTCCCATGTTTTGCCCTTGGAAAGATCTTAACATTTAGAATTTTGCAAATCAAGAATGGAAAAAAATTGGGGCGGGGCCTGACTGCAGAACCAAGTGGACACAGGTTGCAGTTGCTCCTGCGAGCTATTGCAAATTCTATTGAGCCTACCTGAACCGGAGCTGATACCGGGCCTAACAGGGCCGTCTTTAATATTGATTGGACCCTGGGCAAGCATCTGCTTGGGCCCCCTGGGCATGCAATCACCCCCTCCACCCCGACCTAGAGGCGAAACTAATGTAGAGAGTGCCTTGGTGCAAAAAAAAAAAATTCAGGCCTGCCCTGTAGCACAAGAGTAAAGAAAAGATAGATCCCCACCTGTCATACAACTCCTGTGATGCTATGCCAGGTGGGGATCTACCATCCTTGCAGGGTTGTATTTTTGAGCAGTGTTTGTGCAATTGAATGTCAGCATGTTATTGTATAGAGTGTATGTGTGCATGTAGGGGTGTATTTGTATGTACTGTTACCATTGGAATGCAGTGGTGTACTTGTGTGTAGTGTTTGTGTTTGAATGCAGTAATGTGTGATTGTCTGTAGTGTTGGCTTTTAAATGCAGGTGTACTTTTGTGTGTAGAGTTGGTGTTTGTATATAATTTTAGCGTTTTAATACAGGAATGTGTTTGTATGTAATGTTTGTATTTGCATGCAGGGGGTTGTTTGGATGTAGTGTTGTGTACATTTGTGTGTAGTATTGGTGTTTCAGCAAACTGGTGTGTTTGTATGTAATGTTTGTGTTTGCAGGGGTCTGTTTGCATGTTGTGTGATTTCTATAACACATATACACATACACATTAACACGCAGATACACACATAGGCACACTGACACATGCTCACACCTTGACACATACTGGCACATACACACACACACTCAGATACACACCCTTTGACACACAGATACAAGCACTTTGATACACACACACACTGGCACATCCACACACAGAGGTACACACACACACTGACACAGGTATGTACACACACACACACAGATCCTACACACATACATAAAGGTATAAATGCAGGGGTGTATATGTGTACAGTGCTAGAGATGGAGTGTATTTGTGTTGGCATTAAAATGCTGGGATGTATGCATTACCACACACTCAGATGCACACTTACACACACTGACACATACATACATACATACACACACACACAAACACACACCCAGGTACACATACACACTGACACACAAGTACACATACACAGGTATACATACACACAGAAACACTGACACACAGACATACACAGCCAGATACAAACACTGACACAAACACAGCCAGATACACACACTGACACAAACACAGCCAGATACACACAAGGACATAAACACAGCCAGATACACACATATATATGTGTACATTTACATATTTTAATCTCTGCCTTCTAGCAGCTCTTGGACAGCAACTCCCAGCAACCCTTGGCCATAATAATGTCTCAACTCTGTTCTTACATACCCTGGTCCAGAATTTGGCAAAAGTGACATTTGGAAATGGTATACAGCCTTTGAGAACACTTAATGCAATAATATGTTAAAATAAATACTTTTAAAATTTATATTTAATAGGGAACTGTCAGGTTCTTCTAGGATTTTTAACATGTACTTATTCCCTGTGTGTTACATTACAAACACCAACACTTGAATAAAAGTGATATCAGAAATAAGCAAAACAAAAAAAATAAAAAAATATTTAGCCACCCTCCTGTCTCCTTACCTTTTGGGTACAGAAAGGTGGCTTCCCTGGTGTCCAGTGAGAGCTTGCTGGCCCAGGCTGATGGGAGTCTGCCATTAGCTTTCTCAGTCCCTCTCCCCCACAATGCTTGCATCCTCCTCCATGTGGTGTGTGCCTCCTCCCCAGCGGCACTGAGGAGGAAGTGATCTGACCTCACTGCCTCCCAGCATGCCACGGAGAAGAAAAGGGATCACAGGGCAGTGTATGAGGGGCTAGCTGTGTGTTTGTATTCAGCCAACCCCCATATTACAAGGGCCCGGTCCAGAGCAGTATTAAAGGGCAGTGGCCCCTGATTACCTCAGGTGCTGCAGGGGGCCCATGGGACAGCTGCCTTAGGGCCCCCAGGAGTAACTGGGCCCGGGGCAGCTGCCCCTTTTGCCCCTCCTTAAAGACGGCCCTGGGGCCCAAGCAGGCTGCCATATGACAGGGGACCTTGTGACCTTTCTGCAGATACCACGCAATTGGATGTCCCGGTCGATAATTTCTCGAGGCCTAGAAGCATGGGCAACACGAGGGAGACGGATGCTCTCCCGCTGCCACGATTCTCGACTGAACCTGTACGGAGCCTATGGACCAGTGGGGGTTATCCTGGTCCCCACCAACCTGGCTCACACGCTACCACCGGCATCTGAGGCCTGCTATAGCCCACACTCAGACTTCGTGGGGCCTAGCAAAATGGCGGCTGCCGACTACGCTACCGTTTCTGAACCTTCTCAGCCCCTCCACAAAGGCCTGGATGACCTGCCACACTGTCCAACAGCCACCTACTCATGACAGGGTAGTGGAGACGGCTCGACCTCACACAAGGCCTGGAGCTGGGGAGAAGATCCCGCCACACACAACTCCTCTCCACCCTCCAAAACCCACGGATGCCTGCTCCTACTATGCCCAGCAGAGGAATCGGCTGATACAGGGACCCAAGAAACTTGGTTTGCAGGGATGGCATACAGACTTACCCACTAGAGTTGACCTGAACTCTACCACTATTATTTAATTGCACTTATGTGGACCCTCTCTTTCTTAGCCTCAGTGACACACACTGCCCACAGTCTGCCCTATCACAACAAGTATAATATCCACCCACAAGTTAACCTATTTAGGCCGAACATGGCAGCATTAGGGTACTTTGTATACCAGCACATGCACACCTCATACAGCGTGCCAATCCCTGTGCCGATCCCTGTGCCATACACACAGCATATAAGTGGGACTATGGGATCTCAAGGTTGTCACCACAGGCTGCAGGTGCCCACAGTCACTACCTTAAGGGCCGCTCTTCCTCATGTACTGTCTTCCTTTATTTTAATTTAATTTTATGTATATAAGCTGGGTTTAAGTATTGTTTTTCATATGCATATATAATTACACAGAAGCCACAGCAGGGCCACACGTGAGCCACTTAGGTGGATATTACCATGTAACCCACATAGGTCTGCCGTCTACACGCATTTGATATTACCAACCCCTTTTGGCAGCAACGGCACCTGGACAGACACCCACAGCCTAACTATAACATTTATTTGCTTATCTTGTAACGTGTCTATTAGTCATGCATACTTAGCTTGCACAATGTGACACTCTTCCTACTACGACTTTAGCGGGTTAACTCGTGCATAGTCTACTAACTACTTACTCAGTCTAGCAGTATGTCTTATTCTAATAGCTTGTTTAACACTTAGCATGTTTAATTTCCTATATCTGTCTTATGAAAAGCGCAGTTTACGTAATCTTTAAATAATCTCAAGCTACAGTTTAATCTATCTTGTGTTATTATGTTCACTTATAAAAATGTAGTGTACTCCAAATCACGCTGATGCCTTTATATTGTATTACCTTGCAATAACTCCTCTCTTTATTCTGTACCCTGTGACTCAAATGCCTTAATAAAAGAAAGATTGACGACAAAAAGAATGGAAAATAATCTTTATCAACATGCAAAAATTGCACAAAAAAGATTTTTAATTGCAAAGGAAATCAGTATGTATTTTCTGCAGCATATAAGATTATCACCATAGGTGTCGGTTTGTACTAGTGACAGTAGTAAAGACAGTAAGGCTAGTAGTGTATTGGTTCAAGAACATAGTGCAGGTGTTTGATAGGTGGACCTCATGACGTGATCTTTAAAAAAAAAAACAGGTGTAAATTATACACGTCGCTTCTCTTATCTTGACCAAGCTGTCAATCATATTAATATTAATCTAAAAATACATTCAAATTATGACTGATGCATATTGGTTCAAGCAATAACCGTAGCAAGTTTAAAGATCAAAAGACTACCACTGAAACACTGAATAAACCTAGTGTAGGAAATAAGAGCAGGTCAGGCAACATCTGGACCGCGGGAAAGTGCTCTGGGGTTAGCAAAAATGTTTTAATACATGCCTGAATAACGAGAGCCTTTCCAACATTGTTTTTCTATCTCTATCCCGTAAGCCTCCTTAATGTACTTCAAACTTTGAGAACACTGTTGCTTAATCACAGATTTATCGGAAAATGAGTAACAATCTGAGAACATTCCATACAGCAGCTGTACTGATGTTAGTATTGGATAAGTGCAGGTGAAAGGTGCATAACTCTTAGAGCTAGATCAGTTAAGGGTTATGGGGCACGCTGACTTACCTAATTTAACCGGAATTTGAAGGTGGAAATGTACTCCTACTACTCTTTCCCTATATGCCCCCACTGTTTCCGTGGTGTCCCATTTCTGTTGTATTTACAGCCTTTCCTGCTGATGACAAGAGGCAATGTTTCTAGATTGTAAGCTCTTTTGAGAAAGATCCTCATCAACCTGTTGGTCCTGTAACTTTTTGTAATTGTCTCATCTATTTTTAAATTTCCACCTGTTGTAAAGAGCTGCATAATATGCTGATGCTATATAAATGTTGATAATAATAATAAAAATATAAAATATAATATTACAATAAAATATAATAAAAACAGTAATATTTACAGTAATGTACTTGTGTGAAAGCCTGCTCCATGGCCATGGTTCTAGATGTGTAATGTATCCTCCACAACATTCACCAAAATGTATGATGACAGACTGAGAAAGACAGTAATAGAAAATGTCACGGTTAAATGGTAATTCACATAACATATTTCTTTTTAACTAATAAATATTGGGATTCTGCCTTTGGGAACTAAAAACATCAAAAGAATACAAACGTAGTTGTACATGTGAATAGTTAAATGCATGAGTGAAGTATTTTATTAATTGCGTCAATATATTTCAATGTTGACATGTAAAAGCTATTTAACATTCCTCATTCTTCTCCCTGAGGCCAAAGAACTGGGCTTTTTGCTAGTATTAAATACATACATTACATTTTGTAGTCTGTTTATAATAAATATAAGTACATGTCTAATATATATAAAATATAAATGTATGTTAGTGCATATTTTTTTAATTACTTTTGTAATGAACGATGATAGCCTAGGAAATTGTGATGCAAAGCTATATCAGCAAAATGGACTATCTCTAAAGCCCCAGTGGTGATTGTTGGGTAAGAAACAGGACATTGGGGGTATGGCCTGACCGAGGAGCTGAGCAGACGCAAGTCACGGCAGCTCCAGCATAGTATAATCGATTTTTCCTAAATATCTGCGAATAAACATGTAGACTATTGCATATTCTATATGTTCCTATTCAAATACATATTAAGGTGTGGCTGTCTAATGGGTTAAACAGAACAGATGGCGTTTGCTATTCTGTACCATGAGGTCTCTGGAATTTGCTGTATAAGAGATTTGGGGTGGTCTTTATATGGGGAATTTCCTTATATGGCCAGAGTCTAAACTAAACGTTAAGACGTAATTTGGGCTATATAGTGCAGAGGACAAAGGACCACGCTCTCTTCCTTCTACGATCCGTTTTGCTCTACTCTCTGATGTCCTGAGTTGCTGATACAAAGACAGGTCTCTGTAACGTCGTTAAGAAATACTATCGGTTAAGTATATTATTGTTTGCTGTTGAAGTAGAATAAATGCATTTTTTTTATAAAGAACGTCAGATTGCGTATTAGTACTTTTCATTAATATAGACATATATTAATGTTGCGAGCATTTTTGGGCGCAAGAAGAAATATATATATATATATATATATATATATAAAAGACTTACTCAACTAAATAAACACACAGACAGTTATTACAAAACACCAGGATCTAGCTCATCTTGCCCATTACGTTTCAGATGCCCACAGAGATACCTTCTATGCTGGCAATCTTGAAGAATAGCTCGATCAAGCTCTGCGGCCTACAAGTGTGGTTGGCGTGGGGGAGACGGCCCCATGCCCGCTCCTACAGAAGGCTGACAGCCTCTGTCTAGGCCCTCATCTCCCCCCCCCCCCAGACCAGCGGGGGTCATCACGGTCCCAGGAGACTGTCTCCGTGATTAGAAACACCAACCCTAAGTAGGGCTCTCCATACCCGAATGGCGGAGGCAGCAGGTGAATATGCAATGGCGGCACAGCCGGAGACTACCCTCCAGCAGCTGAGTAGCATCTCTGCGGCAAAGCATAGGGTGGCGAAGCAGAGGGGCACATCAACAAAGCTCCGACAATACTCACGGACCGATGAATTTGAGTGGGGTTCCCGCTGGATTCCCAGCTCCTGCTGTAAGATGCTATCGGGACTTCCTACCCATCCCTCCGTCGTCAACGCTGTTACCCCTGCCAGCCTGCAAGACACTCCTGCTTTTCAGCTGAATTCGATGGAGGATCGGGAACAAGCAAGAGAGGGCTCACATGGTGTGCACTAACCCCTCTTCTCCCTTCTCTCAACATACATCACGCTGGACTCACTCCTGTCTAAGCACAGGCCTCGCAGTTATGCTCATCACTTTTTTCTCATGCTCACTCCACTCCGCACAGAGTTCCAAATACCTACACCCCATATAGCTAACAAGTACTCAGAAGTCAGGTACAGTTCATGTTCTCCCTGTTTACATATGGGTGAGCTGTGCATATATTTGCTTGCTATTTAAGCGCCCTCAATGTTTAGTTTTATCTTCTGGCACCTACAACATTATTGTAAGCCAAGGATACAAAAACAAAGTTTCTCTTTTTTTAAATCAAAGAAATAATCATGTTTGCAAGCTTTAATTAAATAATTTAAAGGAGCACTATAAGGTCAGGAACACAAATATGTGTTCCTTAAAACCACCATTTAGGTAGATTCCACGCCCCCCCACCTCCCCCTTAGCCCCCTTCAATGGTAATAATACTTATAATATTTCCAGCACCATGCGGGTTCAGACAGCGCTGCTGGTAGGATTAGTGAGGAAAGAACCAAGGTCTAGGGCAGGGATAGGCAACCTACGGCACTAGTGCCATGCACGGCACTCGAGGTGTCTTTGCACGGCACTCAAGGCTGCAAGAGCCAAACGCACTCTGGCCTATCAGGAGTCCCAGTAAAACTTCAGATATCTGCTAATACGAAGAGGTGGTGAAGGACAAACCTCAATTTATGCATTGCAGAACGTAGAGGAAGTGACCTCAGATCAGTTCCTCCCAGCACTTGTGAATGGGAATCCACACTTTAGTAGAGCAGCCCACAACAGCTATCGTAGCTCCTGTCCTTGACCTGTGCCTGGCCATCCTGGTCCCCACTGGAACCCAGGGAACCCACCCACACTGCTAGATATACACAGAAATGTAGAATAACCCTGCCCTCATACAAATAATGAATAGCCCACACACACACACAACACACAATCCCCACAAACGCAACACCATAAACAATATACATACATGCAAACAAACCCACATGCAATACCCCAAACAGCCCCCACACACTGCCAAACACACAATGTGACATATCCATCCACACTCAATTCCACAAGCTGCCCTCATACACAGCCCACATTCATATGTATCATACACGATACCATAAACTACTAATGAACATATACAATATAATAGCTCATTTACGCACAAATACAACGATACAAAGCAATTACAGTAAAAATAACACAAGCAGAATACGGCAGCATACACACCTCAATTTAAAAAAATAGGATCGGCACGCTACGGGACATCACAATCCTATATCGGCACAGTGCTGCTAAAAGGTTGCCTACCCCTGGTCTAGGGGATATAGAAAGTCATTGAAATTAGTAAACAATACAGAGACAGAATAATTAGGTAGTAGTACCAGCTGGGTCAATATCAAAAGAGCACTAGGCATATAAAACGTGAATGGATACCAAGAAAAAACGACATCAGGGCACTGATATATCTGCAGTTTGAGTTTAAATAGACATAATTGAATCCTCACTGGTTGGTGGCATAATAGTGATTTCAGAATGCACATAGTTGGCAATATACAAATGGCGCATTCAAGTTAGCATCCAAAAAGTATTAAAAGATACAGCATCCAATGTATGGTGTTACCAAAATGACACAAGACATTCAATTCTGCAACATGGTGATGGACAGGAACAGGTACTGTAATTTTGACAAAATCTCCATCTTTGGCTTTTTGGCCTAAAATTTGCAATTAACTTGTCAACTTTCCAAGATTTCAAGTATAACAAAAACAAACAATAGAATCTGAAGAACTATAGTAGACATGATGGTCTGTTCCATGAGCCATTTTTATCCCTAAATATCTCATACAAATCTACAAACCCACCCACTCAGAAGGAAAGTCAATATATCAACAAGCTGCTAGTCACATGGTTTCTTTGAACAGTGTTTGAAGAATTTAGGACACAGACACAGACAATTAAGAACATTTAGGAATCTGTCTGAATTTTTTTTTATTGGACACGGAAGGGGTACATGATACATTCATAGGTTTCTACATGCAAACACTAAGAGTTCTAACTAACTGATTCATTTGCCAAGTTTTGCTAATATGCACTATTTTCCATTTCAGCAGAGCTGTATGTTATCGCTCAAACTACATTGTGTAATAATACTGGTTGTTGGCTCACAAGGAAGGGTAAGACCATATTTATTTACTTAGTAGTATTTGATAAATGACTGGCTGGTTATTAATTTGCTAAGATGCCACATATGGTTTATATATTGCAAAAATGCAAATATCTCTATGAAGTTGTTACAGTATTGTGTGATGCCATGTTTAAAACACTATGCATTGAAGATATAAATACATACACATTATATGAAATGAGTGCATTGAGAAGTCAGTAAACTGCATTATAGAATTCTATACCTGTTTTAACAGGATCATGTCCACCAGAATACACATCTTGAAGATCTCGCTGTTTAGTGCTGTTCTATACATTTTGTACCATTGTCATTCTAAATGATAGCAACAGCTAAGCAGGTATAAACAATCTTATCTTTCACTTCTAAAGTGTCTGCAATCAGCATAGCTTTCAAACTGTGGACAATACACGTAAACAGAATTTACATGACAAAGTTTTAAACACAGATTAAAAAAGGAAACATGGGCCACTTTTACTACAAAGTTTACCATTTTTATTGTTCTTTATTTGTCGTGAATAAATGAAAACAGAACATCAGGAACGAAAGAAAAATGCCTTATTTCTAGTAAATCAATTTTGAAATAAATAGATAAATAAAATAGCAAGTGAACATTCATGAGTTAATCAGATTCTGTGTTTGTGCATTTTTTAGAAAGCAGTTATGATGTCCAGGTAATATTCTTATTAACTGAATTATATTATAATACAGGCATGCTTGAGACAATTAACAGCAATTTTTTTTGGTTGGATTCAAAAATCTCTCTTACCTCTAACATGACAGCCTCACTTTATATGTACGCTTGAATAAAAATCCTGACATTTAATGCTGTTGAAGAAATGATAAGACAGCATAATCAGCATGGACATTGTGGGTGATGTTGATAAGGCTTTTATCTTTAATATGTTTATAAGGCTGAGCTTTAAAGAAAACACTTCCATCGTTTGTATTATTATTTAAAATTAATGATTGCATGTATTATAGCCTTTGTGTGCATTACTTTGTAGTACATACATATATGTAAATACCTTATTTTAGTGCATACTCATGCTTACACTTGCAATAGGAGATGGAGACCTTCAAGTTCTCTTTGAGCAGAAGTATAGCTTATTATTATTATTATTATTATTTTATTATTTATATAGCGCACATTCCGTAGCGCTGTACATTGGGTGGACTAACAGACATGTAATTTTAACCAGACAATTGGACGTACAGGAACAGAGAGGTGAAGGGCCCTGCTCAATGAGCTTACATTCTAGAGGGAGTGGGGTATAGTGACACAAAGGGTAAAAGTAGGGGTACAAAGTAGGTTGTTAGAAAAGTATTCACTGAGGGCTTAGTAGGTAATGTTTTACAGTTGCAGGAGAGGAGTCATGGGGGGTGGGGGATAAAAACCTGCTAACAGTTTAACTGATATGCTTTCTTGAAGAAGTGAGTTTTCAATGATTTTTTGAATGAGTGGAGACTGGGTGAAAGTCTTACGGAGAAGGGAAAGGGCATTCCACAGAAGAGGTGCAGCCCTGGAGAAATCTTGGAGGCGAGCATCAGAGGTGGGAGTACAGACAGATGATAAACGTAGGTCTTTGGCAGAGCATAGGGGCCTCAACGGGACATACTTGTGTATTAGGGAGGATAGGTAGGTTGGAGCAGCATTATGTACGGACTTGTAAGCAAGCATCAGAATTTTAAATTGAGTCTATATTTAACTGGAAGCCAGTGCAGGGACTGACAGAGCGGGGAGGCGTGGGAGCATAAATTTATAGTAGAGGAAGTCACATGCAAAGTGAAACTTTCTCCAGCAGCGTTCAGCATTTCTAGAACATTTTTGGAGGTAACGGGTGAGCTTGGTG